TATATATATTTGTAAACAATATGTTATTGTAACCCTCAACTAAAGGGATTGTACAATGTTTTTGATGCTTGGGATAGGATAACACATGAAATATATCTTTTTCGGTTGCTACACTTGTGTAGTGAGAATAAGTTGCGGAATAGCATGAATGATCAAGTTTTAAACGATTGTTTAGTCAATTTTATTGAGAATGATGTGCTTCTACAAGTTGTTGACGACGATATCATTGATCGTATGCAAGACATAACGACTAGGCAGATTCAATTGTAACTTTTGCTTAAATTATATTTTTCGATTTCGACTTTAAATATTAAGAAATTCTATACATTTACTATTTTGAATCCTGAAAATTTTTGTATCCCTTATCAAAATTTTGGCTGCGCCACCGGTGGTAAATATGTTTTCTAATTACTATCTTTTGGTTAAAAACTCTTAATTGTCTATTTATTTAAAACGTTTACCTTATTTTTAGGTCTAATTCTAACCGCAGGTAAGCCTCAAATGCATAACTATACTTGACTACTTGAGGAATTTCTCTAAAAACAATAGCGCGTGTGCGGTCTTGTCTAAGCCCCTTTTAACGCACGTTCTTTATTCAAACCACTACTACAAAATGTATCTAAATTATGTCTATGCTAATAAAAGCATAATACTTTAATAAACCAAACAGAGAGTTGGAAATTACCCATTCTTGGCGTGGAACATAATCCCTGCATACCATATATACTAATCAATAATATAAATGATCATGCAAGCTGATCGATGAATTCACTAAAACTCTCAAAAAGCTAATGTGAACTCATTGACAATTAAAAAAAAAAAAAGATACAACATTCACCACAAGAAGATAAAACCGCGTAAATGCAAAGAAGAAAAGACAATAATATCTGGTTACTACTTACTAAATTCATCTTCTCCTTTTTCATGATTTAATGGTGCGATGAGTCGAGCTCCACTAATATTAAACAAAATAATCTATGCTTTTACTACCATTAAAATGGTGTCAGCTACTACTATATATAACCCATAGGATACAACGATCATATATGCAGAAATGGAGATTAAGATTACTTTGCTAATCATCGTTAATTTTAGTTTAATCTTAATCCCAGTTGCTAAATCTCAATTGCAATCAGGGTTTTACTCTTCTACGTGTCCCAAAGCTGAAGCTACTGTGAGGTCTACTGTTGAAACACACTTCAAGAATGATCCTACTGTTGCTGCTGCACTTCTCAGGCTCCATTTTCATGATTGCTTTGTTGAGGTACTAAATTACTTAAAATGGTATTTTCGGAATCGATAAATTTTTTAACTTTATTAATGGGTTTTCCTTGTTAGGGTTGTGATGGGTCAATCTTGATTAAGGGTGGTTCTGCTGAGATTAATGCAGTTCCTAATCTTGGATTAAGAGGATTTGAAGTCATTGACGATGCTAAGTCACAATTGGAATCTTTGTGCCCCGGTGTCGTTTCTTGTGCAGATATCTTGGCCTTGGCTGCTCGCGACTCAGTCGATTTGGTAATCACTTAGCTAGGCTACATTTGTACACGTGACATGATGGACAAAACTGAACTGGATAAATTTCTAACACCTTTTGGTGAGAAAAAAAAATACAAATTTTGACTCGTTGACATAGGTTTCGGTGTCAACCTATTGCATACCAAAGACAATGCAACATTTTAATATTGTCATTTCATGTCTTATGTAACAAAGAGAGCCTTAACATTTTTCTTCAAGTTAACTCTAACTCACACCTAACATGCTTTATGTCACGTGTTGTAGAGTAGTGGTCCAAATTGGGTAGTGCCGACAGGAAGACGTGATGGTAGAGTCTCGTTGGCTTCTAAAGCATCAAACTTACCATCACCGTTAGATTCCATTGACGCCCAAAGGCAAAAATTTGCGGCTAAAGGCCTTGATGATCGTGATTTGGTGACATTAGCCGGTACGTCAAGAAACATTATTTTGCTACTCTAAAAGTTGTGTTTATGATAGTCAAGATAATAGCCACATAAAGTAGCGCACTTGATTCAAAGGTAGGGGCGGTTTTGTTATGGTGCTCGTAGTGGCTCCAGCAACACCTGATTTTTCCATATTTCCATACACAGTGAAAAATTTTCTTTTTACTATCGTGCCACTGCTTAAATATACCGTGTCACTCCAACTATGAAATTTTGTGTCTGCCCTTGTTCAAAGGTGGTATCTTTGCAGAAACATGTGAAGGTTTGAGCCAGCAACAACATTGTACTTTGTGGGTGTTCCAATTCCAATGTGTTTTGACCTACTTCTAGCCACTAGGCATTTAGACTACCCTCATCTGCAACCCATTCCAACCCAACTATCTATTAAAAACTATTTTCTATATCTTTCACATAAACTTTTATCCACGTTAGCTACACAACCCAGTCCACTATTTTATTTTTAAAAAATATTCAAAAAATATATCAATATTAGTCTCATTTTGTAGAGAATTCTTTTTTATGTATTTTAATATATTTTATTTAATTTTAAAATTAAAACCACATCTATTTTTTTATAAAATAAATGAAATTAAAAGAGAGAGAGAGAGAGAGAGAGAGAGAGAGAGAGAGAGAGAGAACTATGGTGAGCGAGGTTGTGTGGGCAATCCGTTCACACCCTTCCTTTTCTTTTTTATTTATTTTTTTTTTATTTTTGGGGTGAATATAGTAAAGATAGTATTTTGTTATGTAGGTGCACATACGATTGGCCAAACGGATTGCAGATTCTTTAGATACCGTTTATACAACTTCACGACAACCGGGAACTCGGATCCAACTTTGAGCCAATCGACTCTAACCGATTTTCAGAAGCAATGTCCAAGGAGCAGTGATGGCACGGAGCGAGTGGCATTGGACAAGGACAGCCAGTTGAAGTTTGACGTGAACTATTTCAAGAATGTGCGCGATGGGAATGGTGTTTTGGAGTCCGATCAAAGGTTGTGGGGCGATCCCACGACACGTGACATAGTACAAAAGTACGCGGGAACCTTACGAGGGTTGTTGGGACTTAGATTTGATTTTGAGTTCAAGAAATCCATGGTTAAGATGAGTAGCATTGAAGTAAAAACGGGTACACAAGGAGAGATAAGAAAGATTTGTTCCAAGTTTAATTAAGCAAGGACAATATGGTAATTTTATATGTATTGAATAGTGTTATTGTGTATGTGAAAGTCGAAATGTTTGTGGATAACCCTTTTTAAACGGTATTGGATTGTAAAAGTTATCAGTTTAGTTATTGTGAGTTAGAACATAAAACCGAATAGGAAATTTATTGTTTGCCAAAAATACCCTCAGAAAGTCATTTTATTGGCTATCATGGAAGCACAAAGTTGAAAGGCTATTAATGTCAATTGACGTGTCGAAACAATACCCATGAAAGCTCAACCCATCATCCACATATTTCCTCGTTAAACAATCCTCTGTTTTTGCACTTTTGATCGACAGAAAAACTCATAAATTCAAGAAAAATAAAATGGAGAGTGCCCTCTTGTTGGCGCCCAAATTAGTTTCCAATCCAAGTAAGTATCTTTAAGCTTCAAAATCTTTCTGGGTTCTTTAAAATGGTTACGTTATATGTGAACTTAGGAAATCGAAAGTTCTGTGAGTAATGTCGGTTAAGTGATTGATTTTTCATTCAGGCAGAGAATTTCGCAGCAATGTGAGGCAATTTCAGAGCTCATTTTGTGGCAAATCGATAGCTACTGTTGAATTTACGAGAACTGATGCATATACCAACCATAAAAGCATCGCTAAGATCACTTCGTTGGTAATTCTACTTCTTCCAGTTTTGTGATTCGAGATTATGTAATCGTCAGGGTTTTTGTTGTTGAGGAGCTAAATATGTAAAAAATTATACTAATTTTATATGTCTTTTGTGCTTTTTTATAGTTTTCACTTGGGAAGAAGAAGGTGAAGACAATCAAGAGAGAGACTGTTATCCCAGATCCAGATTATAGAATACCGATTGTTCTTCTTGGTTTGTACTGGTTCCATAATCTTTTCATATGCCAAATTTGTTCATGTGATTGAAACCCTAAACCCCAAATCAATACAATCAATCTTTGTGGTTAAACAGGTTTTGCTGGTGGTTTAGTGTATGGAGATAATCTATTAGCAGCTGCTCCTGTTGGTCTACTTGGCTTACTTCTACTCTTTCAGGTGATCATATCAAGAATTGCAAATTAAAAAAATACTTTTACCATTTTGCGTTATAATTATTTAATTACTTTACAGTTAAAAAAAAAATCATTTTTCTTTGGTTAAATTGAAAAACGTTGAAAATACTTTGTATTTTTTTTCTGTATTTCGCCCTAATATCAAACCGAGTAATTAGGAAAGCTGATTTTTGAAACAGTCAAAAAAATATAATGGTTTAATCACTATAAAATACAGTTAATGGCTAAATCAAAAAATATATATATAATGGTTTAACTATTTCTTTTTTTTTAACAGACGACTAGAGTGAGGTTTGTCTTCGATGATGAAGCTCTGGTTTGTGCCTTAACCCTCTTTACTTATATTATTAACACATAAAATGAAAATTTTGATTTCCATTTGTAGAAAACTAAATTTTAATTTTAAGTAAATCTTTAATTGCTTTTAACTAATTTATGCCTTGTATTTTACTTACAATTGAAGGAAGTGAAAGTGGGAGAAGAGCTGGATGAATCGGGTGAAAATGTCTTTGTTGGTGGCAAAAACCGTTGGAAGTGAGTCTTTAATGTTTTTCTACCCCTTTTTTTAATTTAAAATTTTAAAGTGGAAATAAACAAATGATAAAATAAACTAACATCGATAACAGATACTCATCATTTGTAAACTGGGAGCTTTGGTGGCCAAATTTCCCGATTTTGGTTTACTTCAAAGAAACACAAACAAAGCCTGAAGGACAAATCCACTTTTTCCCAGTGATTTTTGTGAGTATTTAAATTATATGAACATATTTGTGATTTGATAATAAACATTTATTTTTAATATGGTTTTTTTTGTGTGATAATTAGAATGGGAAACAGTTATACGATGTTATGGTGGAACGAGCGGGCCCTTCAAAGACTAGTGGCCCAAATTAGTAACATACTTAGATTTATTTGTTTACTATACCATCATGTTTTCATTTTTCTTTTATTATAGTATTGTACTATCAGTCTTTTCCTTATTAAGGCATTGTACTTTGAAAAAGTCTATGCAATTATAGTATTGTACTTTCAGTTATTTCTTACTAGGTTTAAACCCGTGTAAACCACGGTTGAGATAGAAAAACATTATTTATAATTGAAAATCATAATGACTAATCAAATATTTACATAAAAAGTATTAATTTACAAAGATAAAAGTTTTGTCAGTAAATATAATTTTGTTAAAACCCATGTATTACATAGTTGATAAATTAAAATAACATAAGTAATAATAAAAAAACATAATCATTAATCATAAAATTGTAAACACTTTTTTATATACAACATTAGAATGTTTTTTTGTTTAAATGCAAAATTGATAAGAAACTTAAAAATTAAAACCAAATTTGTGAATTCATAAATTGAATTACAAACAGTTACACACATACAACTATTTCAAAGGTTTTTCTATGTGAAATAATGGATATGTGAATATCAATAAATATAATATTTTTAATTGGAAATAAAATGAATAATTTTGTATTTTGTAAGATGTTTTTTTATAATGTTAATGTGGTTCCTATAATTTAATGTAGAATATTATATTTATAGTCTATGGGGACTCCCTTTTTTATACATGAGTCACTTGGTGAATCGTATACAATGAGTATCTGAAAATGCAAACATTTAAAAGGGCAACGGAAAATATGAGTAAAAGCAATTAACTTTGACGGTTATTTACAAATTCACCCTTAAGGGTGTCCACTTGACCTATAAGAATGTGACAAGTTTTCATATGAACTTTTTACTTTATATGGAAGTACTATATATAGTTCCAAATCCACTATATACGATATTAAATTATTCTTAACAAAACATATTAATTTACAATTTATAAATTGAAAACGTCGCATAAGCTCATTAAAACAAAAATATGATTATAATAAAAAATTGTTTTCTACTAAAAGCAGATGTGTTTCATTTAAACTTCATAAACACAACGGGTTATATTTCTTGAAGAATATGACAGATTCCATTCCATCTGACAAATACAAAAAGCATTTTATAATTCCAATGAAATGATTCATTCAATTCCTTCTTCAATTTAATCTTACCAAATAAGTTATTATTGAAAGAAATAATATGTAAGCTTCTAGTTGTGCTTGAGCATTAGTTTTTTAAGAACAATATATAGTGCCATATATACTTTTAATTGCCAAGTCAGATTTCTGAAAATTAAAAGTTTTATGAGTGATTATATTTGTGAAGTTATCATAAAGCATGCATATTCCATTTTTATTTGAAATTTGTTAACATATTATGACCATCTAAATTCTATCGGAGAAATATGTTAGTAAAATGGTTTATAAATTCAATTTAGAAAGAATGCACCCATTAAAATGTATGAAATCATTCGAAGTAGCTTTAAGATACTTCTTGGAGTTTGAAAATTGAAAGACACAATACTTGAATAAATCTTCAGAAGGTAAAACAAAATCAAAATCTCATCTTCATTTTTCTTTAGAAATATATAGAATACAAAAATGTTAAATTTTTAAAAGTTCTTTTCGTAGTTCACTGATCATAAAAAAAACACGGTCTGCTTTGTTGTTGGTAATATCTTATAGAGGCATATCCTTGAACATGAACTCAATGCCTAAAGCCAAAAACCATACATTTTATTAAGCTAAAAACATACATTTACAATCTATATATGGAAAAAAGCAAGATTTATGACTGAAAAGATAAATGGATCAAATGTGAAGGAAACATTTGTTACCTCATTGAGTAGTTTCATCGAACACTTGGTGTTCGACTGAAAGCCAATGAATCTCCTCGAACCTTTTCCTAATATTTAAACCATTTTGAGAACAATCGTAGAGGCTTATTATGGTGTACAAGATAGGTCTAATGGAAAAAACATTTATTTGCATCTCTTTCGGTGCATCAAACCCCACAGACAAAGAAAAATGGAGAAAAGGTTGGAGAATGTTCAAGACATTGCATGAAGCTACAAAATGAAACCTAATTTTCACTTCCCAACGGTTGAAGCAAGGCAAGAGAACACGAAATTTTGAGTAAACACTTTAAATTATAAGTGTAATACGAATCTTCACTTGAAATAAACTGAAATTTTAACACATAGAGAGAACCCTAGATCAGTACAACAATCGGAGGTGGCGAAGCGATGTAGAAAGGATTTGTGAAAAAAAAAACTACACCTTTAATTTTGTATAAGATTAGTTTGATGAGTTGTTGTGATTTAGAAGGAAATTATATCAATTCTTGATATTCTATGATTTCCTGATTTCTTGGGATTTTATATGATAAAGATACATGGGATATACTGTCAGGGGAAAATAAAAACATAAACACTTAACAATATAATTGGAACGGGGTGGAGAAAACTTAGGCGAGATTCTTGTTGATTTCTTTCCTGATTTTAGGTTGAAGAATTCTTCAAGATAAGTGTTGTTGCTGATTTTCTAGATTTATAGTAGCAAAGGGAAATTTGAGAAGTTCACTTGGAAACTTTGAGCGGGAAAATTAATTTGGGAGGGGTTTAGCAATTGTCACGTGGCAATTGAGTACTTATTTATTAGGATAAAAGATTAGGACATTGTACTTTCAAAATTATATATAAGTATAACAGCAAATATTGCTTTTTATTTGGATGACAATATGACATTGTGTATTTCATAATTTTAGGAAACAAAAACATTTAAAATTATGGACAGTCAGGAAATGTTTTACTTCTATTGATTATTTAACTTAACACTATATATATATATATATATATATATATATATATATATATATATATATAT